TATCTTTGTGCTGGGTTCGCAGGAAGGTGCAGTGGTCACTGAACTGAGCTTGGGATCGTTGGACTTCCAAGCGCAAGAGCAGTTGATGCTGCAGCTTTGACAAAATGCTTGCAAAAGGCTAGTTGCCACGCGCATGGTGCTGCTACGTCTTTTTCCGTGCACCTTGGCGCATTCGTACACAGGGATGGGTGGCGTGATGCTCCGCCTTCAATTTTCAGCACCTGTCATGTTGTTGAATGTTCGTCATTAAGAGACATGCTTCTGGAGTCAGTCGGAGATTATCATGCGTTCTTGTCTCCCAGATTGATGCTTCCGCCCCCCCCGCGTCCAGAGCTTAAAGCCTGTTTCAAATCAAGCTGACCCTTTTTCGTGTTCACTCTCCTACACGAGCGTTTATAGATAAGGAGATCATTACGAGTTGCGAGCTAAATGTCGTTTGATGGTGCAGCACTGAGAAGTACCACGACCCACGTCTCCTTTAGTTTATTGGTGAACTATCAAGTAGACGGTCGGTTTTGATCTGCTAGACTCGCCTAGGTGCTCAAGTGCATTAGAAAACCTGCAAATGGGCTAGCATTTTCAATACAAAACAGCGCCGCACGCGCAGCTGTAAGTGCGCAGATATTCTCGACACCATTTTGTTTCAGGGGGCCACCCGAAGTTACACACTTAGTCTTCAATGGTTGTACGCTTGCCGTCTATGATGAGTGACACCTTGCATCATACGACGACGGCAGGCCCGGCCCCCTTCGGTTCGCGAGGCTTTAGAGCTCTGCTGACACAGGTGTGTGAGGAATGCCTCGAGAAGCTTCGCTGACATCGTGAGTTTATGCCAGGGGCAGGCGAGATGGCCATTCTACACCATTGTCCTTCCAGCTGGTAATGGATTATTTGAAGCTGACAGCCCCCTTAACAGAGATTGGAGCTCTGCATGACCCCGAGGCGACGTCTTAGTGCCCCTGCTTTTAAGCGTTTACTTGTTGGCAGGGACGTGATGTACACCGGTAGACTCCCTGTAGCCGCTTCAGATTGCAGTGCATCCACCGGCATTGGGCACACATCGGGAGCCGGGTTCACAGGAAGAGGTCCTGCAGTTTACGGGCCCCATTTTTCTTTACCACCGCAGTTTGCTGTATTGTGGCGTAGAGGGGAACAACTACCGGAAAGTTCACAAAGAGAACAAAACCAGTGTACGTGTCATGTATGATCGCAAGATACAAGCATTGGGCAACCAGTTATGGGGATTCAAAGTTTCTGTGTTTCATACTCGCTCCACTCTTCTGATGCAATGTTGTAGCTGGACTTCAAGAAGTTTATGTTTGCAAGTACACGCCTGCGCCTCGACGGTAACCTCGGCAGTAGCAGTTCTGAGTTTCTTAATGTGAGGAATCCTGCTGCCCGAAAGATGGAAGTGAGCTGAATGTATTGGGCGTCGTGAAATGGAGCTATACTGCACTCCATGATGCAGTATTTATTGGACATCGACTCGTAAGACAACTTTAATATTGTAATAACTGCACTGAAAATGCCCTACGAGGACACCCACTGTGCCGTGCTGCCAGTCCACGAAGCTTGTTCGCTAAACATGCACAAATTTGGGGTTATTTGCTTGCTGAGGTTTACACCAACCAGAATCGGCCTGCATTAATTTTCCAGTATAAGCTGAACGGCTACCTGTTTAAGGGCTTACTCTGCACATCAAACAGAGATGTGCCGAGGTATGCACGAGCCAGCCTACAGATGTATGCAGCTAGACTTAAGCCTTAATGTATGCAACGATCATGTGTCGGGGACCGTTGGCACCGACGTCAGAGTCCGCTGCATCAGAGTAACTACTCTGTTGCGTGTCTCAACAAGTACCATCTGCTCTATAACACGCGAAAGAAAGTCGAGCTGGTCCCTTTTGGTTTCACATATTGCAGCCAGCCAAGTAATCTTCTCAGGCAGAAACATATATGGTGCCTCAACAAAGATCACGCATTGAATCAGAGCCACCCCGACATGGCAATGGCAATCTCTGGCTAAACGTCTTTAATGGTACAGTTTGCGATCTGCAAGATATGTGCTACTGTAGATCCTTTGGTGTGCGTGAGTCCTTTATGGCCGAAAATGCCATGCCTTGTGCATACGGTATACTCAGTGTCGATGAAAACCATGTGCATCACAGTGCAGTCTAGCCGTTGCTCTACTAGTAGTGGAGTAGAGGCCGGCAAAAAATTGATCCTCACAATAACCCCTTAATGCCTGTTAAGAAAAATTACTTTCCACAATATTCCCCAAATGCCTAAGGCATTAACACCAATGGAGGCTCGGTCTGGTGTTGGGAAGGGACTGAACAAATGAACACTGCGGAAGCATGCCAAACCCATTTCAGTCCTGCTGCTAGCTTCTACAATTCAATTTCGGCACAAAAAACGGGGAAAATGATTTCGCCGCAGATCCATTGGCATAAGAGTATACATAGCGAACAGAACATAGCTGAGAAATGGTATTCTAATGAAGAACTTGGGCACAAAAAGAAGTCCCAAATGACTTGTTTTTCGCAAAGCTTCTGGGAACATATTTGGTTTCCTGTACAGTTACACGGCATTTATTTGTCCTTACCTACAACAAAGTGGATAAAGAAGCGCATTGAGAGAAAACTGGGAGATCAGTTATTGACCTCTCGGAGAGCTAGTACTCGAGACAATCCGCTTCGGTTGCAAATGCAGGTGAATCTAGGCGACAAGAGAAAATGATGAGAGGCTCAGAAAGTGCCCGACTGCCCCTCAGCAGGAAGCCATATGTGCATCATCAGGGCAACTAGGCAAACAAAGTGGCTGCAGGCTCCCTCACACGTAGCCTTCGGCTATGACAGCATCAGCAACTTTGCGAAAACCAGCGACATTCGCTCCAGCAATTAAGTCCCTCTCGTTCTTGCCATACTCTTGAGCTGCCGCAACACATTTTTCAAATATGTCACTCATTATTTGCCTCAGCCTTGAGTCTACCTCGTTGCGCGTCCATTGCATTCGTGCGGCGTTTTGACTCATCTCTAAACCGCTCACAGCTACACCACCTGCGATACAGAGCACTCATGAGTTGACAAATGGGCGTCTTCTGAACGCGATCGATGTGTTTTACTGTATCCAAGCATTAAAATCCAGTTAAACAGTGAAGGTGTCCTGGGTACCTGCATTGGCAGCTTTCGCGGGACAGACAAGAACACCGTGCTTAGCGAACAAATCAGTCGCCTCCGGTGTAAGGGGCATATTAGATCCCTCAATAACAACCAAACAGCCATTTTTGCACATTTGGTCTGCGGCAAGTTCGTCGATCTCGTTCTGTGTAGCGCAAGGGAATGCGAGCTCAGAGGCCACGCTCCACGGCGTTCCCTTGGGCTCGAAAACGATATCTACTCCCTGCATTCAGAGTAGAGACGCAGTGGCCAAAACGAAGCTCAATTTAGTGTCATGGGCTGCTGCATTAGAAGCATCAATATCTTCAAAGACGTGTAGCAACGGTGGAATGTTTCGCCAATATGGTGTACCCGCACGCAAAATGCATTGCAACGGGCTCGGGTCGCTAGGCTTACGTCTGCGAAAGACTTTACGCGCACCGACGGATCTGCTACCTTGGTGAATTTTATAAGTTGGATTGTTTCAGCCGAAAATCCTCTTTCGCAATAAATCAAGCCTTCGCTGTCGCTTAGTGTCAAAACGGTGGCGCCCATCTCCAGCAGCTTCTCAGCGCAGTACACAGCTACATTTCCACACCCACTCAACGTGCATGTCTTCCCACTCAAACTCAGGTTCTGAGTACGCACACATAAACTTCCAAGGTCAAACCTTAGTGAGAACATCACCGTGGTTCTGTGAAATGGCAATGACGTAGTCTGTCTACAAAACTCCGCACTCGTAGACCGCTTCTTCATCAAAATTGCTTGATATACAAAAACAATTTTAAGCGACAGCTAAAGTAGTGAAGGCGCTCCTTTTACTCTTTGGTACTGACCAAAAGCCTTCTCAAGACGTTGTCAGCGAAGTACGCACAGCCATATCCTGTAGCTTCTGGGCGTATTTCCGATCCCCCCCAGCCAATGGCTTTGCCAGTGATGGCGCCTTCGAAATTCGAGGATAGGCGCTTGTACTGTCCAAACAAAAACCCTATCTCACGGGTTCCAACACCAATATCACCTGCCGGCACGTCTCGGGAAGGCCCAATATGCCTCGCTAGCTCGGTCATAAAGCTCTGCAAATCGAACGCAGAGTGAGTGAACTTAAGGTTACACTTCCCATCTATAATGATAAACTGGTAGACGAGACATACCATTCTAGAGGTTCAAGAGATTTGAACGTTGTACGAGCCCCATCATGCTACCAGCATAAGATTTGAAGCTGAGAAGAGATGGCAAGAAACCAATCGAATAATAGATCGAATCTGGACATATGTGGTATTACTTGACATACCCCAAGCAACAGAAAGTCTAGGACACCAAAAATTTATTAGCACAGGCTGCATTAATGTGATGCTCACTTGGCAAAACCGCCTGATTTCGTTAATAGATTTGCCTTTGGGGTCAAAGTCAGAGCCTCCCTTCCCTCCTCCCATCTGAAGTCCTGTGAGGCTGTTTTTGAAAATTTGTTCGAAGCCAAGGAACTTGACAACAGACAAAGAAACAGTGGGGTGAAATCGCAAGCCACCCTTGCAAGGTCCAATTGCCGAGCTGAACTGGACGCGGTATCCGCGATTTACGCGCTGCACAAATATCACACACCTTACCATAAACGAACGATCTGGCTTGCATGCATCAGTGCCAATGCGTGCGTGTGGAGTGGAGTAGTACTTACTAAGGTGCCGTTGTCGTCAAACCATGGCACACGAAATGTCACTGTTCGCTCGGGCTCGGCAATGAGCTCGAATACCGAAATATATTGTGGGTTTTTCACCAGAAACTCCTTAAGGGATCCGAAAAATTCCGAGAAAGCCTGTAGGAACTCTTGCTGATGGGCATTTCTGACCTTCACGCGGTATTCCAGGCGCTTTAGCAGGAGCTCTGGGCTGCAGTTAGAAGGGGTGCTGGAACGCATGACGTCAGGATGATTGAGGCCATTTTCTGCCATGTTTTCCATGCTTAAGAGGATAGTGTTCTCTTGAAATCTCGATCCATCTGAAAGCCGGGTGCACACAAAAGTCGTGAAAAATAGGTCGAGTCACTACGATGTAGGATATATTCAGTTTGCTAACACGCAGGAAATCCACATCCATTTTTGCCTCGACACTTGTACGGCACGCATAGACGTATATTTTTTGGAAATTGGTTGAAACCCCATGCCGTAGAGCTTGACCATCAGTGGAAGTGCCATAATTACCAAATTATTTGATGTATGTGCCTACTTATTTTTTTCTCTCCGTTCCCAATACTTGCATGTGACGGTAAAAGATTTGTTGTCGGTGCTGCGGCCCCACAAAGCAACCTTGGGGGTAAACGGCAAGTTCAACCTGTGTAGAGTTGGATTTCTTTCGAAATAACTCTTTAAATTACAAAAGACTGCATAGGACCGAGGGTAAAAAGGAAACCAAGACGCCTGTGCTTGCAGAAACGTGGGAGGGCCACTGCATCCGTCAGCGACCGGCACTGTCAACAGTCTGATAGCTAGGGCACGTCTACTACCACCACTGTTACCATGATTTCGGCAATTCAAGCATTTTAAGTGCGCACCACTGGTAATTTAAACCAAAGTGGATTTACACAAAGGTGTGCCACGAAAGCTTTTGAAATGCCAGTTAGCGCGTATCTTGATTTGCACTACTGCCACATGCCGTCGCAACCACTGAGGGTGTAGAAGTTCAGTGAGATAGCGTATTGTTAACGGATCATAAGGCCTCTTCTATTAGCGCGGGGGCGGAGATGCACCTGTCCGGTGCTTCATAGCTTTAGAGGTCATTGTGGAGCATTGTTCCCTGAAAATTCGGTCTAGGGCTCCCTGTGCCTCCAACCTGCGCTCGAAGCATCGTATATAATGACGAAGTCCTGTATTTATTTTTTCAAAACCAGAATTTTTTTAGAGTTCTTGAAATATACAAGTTTCTTCGGCCTACTCAGAGTTGCTAGTTCCTTGGATTCGCTTCTTAATGTAAATCGGGCTGTCCATAGTAAGCGCCGGGGCAAAGCGGTAAGCTACACTTAGTCACTTCCCGTAAAGTGATCATATTTACCCAATATTTTGATATCGACCGACCAAGTGGGTTGTCTGTTGGTATATATGTTGCAGATTTGCGCTAGCCAGATTCAAGAAGGCGCCACGCTGTGCTTGTGGGGGTGTGCTGAATGCTACTGGCAACTAGCTGTGAATGCTCGGCATGCTTAAAGCGTGCAGCTGCGCACACCCTATCTGGCCCTTTTCTCGAATAAGTAAACCCTGAGCGGCGACGGCAATTTCTCAGGAGGCAGGCCTCCTGAGAAACTTTGAATCACTATGATAATGTCTAAAGCTAAGTGTCACGAAGCAGAGACCTTGGATAAGACATTGCAGTTGGAAAAACCACATGGCTTGGTGCAACTGTTGCCCGCTCATCTACCGGCTGTGAAAGCAGCGGAATTCAAGATAACCTACAGCTGTTATATACTTTCTACCAATTTACTCGGCGATTCGGCAATTTTACATGCCCATCGGCAACAAAAAGAGACGAAATTTAAAGGTGGCACAACACCTATTGGGGCAGTAGAGGCCGGCTTGAAAAGCGATGCGAACGCAGTGACTCTACAGCTAGTAGAAAGGCATGACCGGTCAGCCGATAGCGTCTTAAAGGACGCGTCGATGTCGTATGACAAACCTAATAGTTCGGTGGCGGTAAGGCTCGGCAAGTACCCAAAAGTTTGTACACCGTTTGGACTTATACCTCGCTTTGTATACCCTGAAGGAAGAGAAAAAAGCGCTCCATGCGGCATATTTGCTGGAAGGAGGCGCTCTTCAGTGGAGGGTATATTTATCTAAAGGAACTTCGTCAGCCTGGAGGAACTACCATGGTTTACGCCTTCAGAAAAATTTTGGCTGGTTGACTTTGCCGGTGTAGAGCTTGCTTTCAAGCTATGGTTGGGCTGAGTGGGTTCAAGTAAGGGGATATTCGAATAAAATGGCATGCTGAGAAGCATGAAGCTTCGGTTTGCAAAAGTCACGGCGCAGATGAATAGCTGCTTCTTCGATTATAAATTTAAGTTTACTTGAAATTTTAAGTCAGGTGGTAGCAGCTTGGGTGGCGACTCAGCTACTTCACAGCCAGCTGGTGAAATTCCTGTAGATAGTGGACACAAACGACAGGTGCGGGTATGTGAATCATGAACTACTGATGCTGCCGGAGCAAATTAGCGTGGATCCTATGTGTTTAGCTACAAGGGACGATCTAAGTAGATTTTGAACTTAAGCATCACTAGGGCGCATGCCGACAGGTCTTGGCCTATAAGATAAGTGCAACGGGAAAAGAGTGCCAGATGGAGCCTATCTCCAGATAGCCCCCCAACGATACACGAGCTTCAACGGTGGGAAATTTGAGCCATACTGCCAAGATCTGCAAGCCAGTGAAAGACCTGAAGAATCTTAGCAACAGGACTAGGCACAGCGGAAGCAAGGTGCTTGACGACCAAAGCAGGCAGTTCAGAGGAATGAAATCCTCGGCACCCAGACTGCGGATAGTGCCACATTTTTCAATCACGTGCCAATTTTGTACTTGTGCTAGCTCTTACTAGGCGATAAAATTTGCCACCGTCATTCGAGAGTGCTTGCGAAATAAATCTGTTATCCGAGGAGCCAGCGCACAAGGGCAGTTCGCATGTTCATTCGTTGATGCAGTTCCCAAGACTCAGGTTTGCTGAGAGGGGGCAAAATATCAAGACTGGCGAGGCCACAGCAGGTAAATGGTTCTTTAATTCAATACTAGGCATCATCAGCATATCCTAGGACTTCTACATGGGATCCTTGCACCATGACGTAGTCCTAGCCATGCCATCGGGGGACCCGATGGCAGGGGCGCACATGGCCACAGCTGCGTGGTGTGGAAGTTTGTCGTTTACAAAAATAGAAAGATACTACTCCTGGTTTCCTTTGATATGCCGTTTTCATCTATTGTGGGCGGGATAAAGCCGGTGCCTTAAGTAGTTGAGGCAGAGTGTTCATGCTGGCGGCCTAGCAGTGTAGTATGAAAAGACGATTCTGAGCAAGCACCCCGTTTTAATGGCTCTGCGCCCGTTTTTCGATCAGGGAATGTGACTAGCTGTTTAGGCGTAGAACTCCAGCAAAGCGCAAATATGAAGGGGAGTTCGCGGAGGTGCTGAATTATGAGTGGCACCACCAATTGTAGACTTGTCTACAGATTGTCTCTCGAATCCCTGATTCGGGCCTTACCCTGCTCTTCCATGGTCAGCAGCGCCCTTCACCTGCAGATGGCTTTTCATAACAGCTGGCTTATTCATGAGAATGTACATGATAGGCTCGAGGAGAGCACAGAATGATGATACGCGGCGATCGGTTTTGTGTTTCGAGCTACTCACTTCATTTTGATAGGTCGTCACGCTTTACGTGGTGCACTATAGGACTACTAGAGGTGACTTCTGCTGGGAAGGAGGATTCCCACGGAGCCAAAAACGTGCCACGACTATTGCTTTCAGGACACATTAGATGGAGTTTATTGCAAAATAGGGTGGAAAATCCAACTTTAATTTCCGAAGGAGAAGCAGTTGCGAGGCTCCATGCCTGTTTGGCTAACAAGGTCGGTCGCCATGAGGGTTTTCTTGAGTTCCTTAGCAAATTTTCTTTGCCAGCCCATAATCTGCGTGACCTAGCTACTTTCATTTGCGGGTACCGCTTGAAAGCTTCCAGATATCATATAAGGTGCTGCCTCCACCGGTTTATGCGCAAGCGCTCTCTGGTAGGTTGTCCCTGCATGATTCCATATCCCTATTTTGTCATCTAAATTAAATACGCTTGCACTGGCTTTACTTGCGTGCAGGCGTTGCTCTATGAGTCATGGTGGCACTTTTTAACGCGATTTGTTTTGATTTTATTCATACATGTAGCTTGTTTTCTGCGTTTTCATAGTAGAAAGCTCCCTAATTTCAACGCTCTGACGGCAGTAAGCCATCAGACCGCCGCGGTAATGCTGGATTAGAACATGGTTTTCGTCGTTGGACAGTGTATGTGCCTTTCTTCCCGTTGTTTGCCTTTGAAGGTTCACGGCCACAGTGCGCTTCTCATCTGCACTAATTTCGGGCTCACGCCTGCTTCGGGTTGACCACAGGGCTGGATTTTCTTCGGCCGCTCGAGAGGTCACTTTCCATGACGAAGGGGTCTGATGGCGTGCTCTCTTAATGGGGATAGAGGAGATGTAGCGGGCTAAACAAGGACCCGATAATTATCTTTTACTACACTGGTTGCCTTCAAGTAACAGCTAGCAGAGAATCAACTAACTGGTTTGTCTTGATACATGATGACCCAACGTTCCAGAGTGTTTGAGGGCGAGGCGCTCCCGCAAAACCATATGTCAGTGTCAAAAATGCTTAGGGGGCGTAGTTAGGCGCACCCTAGCGGCCTCTGAAGCGAACGAGGCCACTCTTAAGTACTGCCTTTTACACTAGTTACACTTACTTATGGGGCAATGAATTGTCTGACTGGCTTGTTGGTTCTTATTGCAGAGTAGTGCTAGCTCTGAATAAGAAGAGTCAACTGTATGGGTGTGGGGTGTGTGTGGATAAACGTCACATGCTAGATGCAGCTAGCTATAAAGCGTGGACTGCAAAGAAGGTGCAGCTAGGCGCATTTTAGCTTTCCCTCTAACTTCATATAGGGATCTCTGAAAAGCAAGGGCTGAACAAGGTGGGGGTTGTTTACAGAAAATATAAATTTCTATAGTCTGTACTCGCTGGGACGTTTAGTTACCAAACCTGCTATTGCGTAGCACCGGAACCCTGAGGAGCAAAGGCAGCGAAGCAGAGAACCACTTTGAATGAGAGGACTCAGAAGCTCTTCGTAAAGTTTTACAATGTCTCAGGAGTTGTCATTGTACGCAGACGTTGGTTGGAACGGCATAGTTGAAGCAAGGGGTATCATATATTCGTGCCTGTTTTTTAGCTTTGATTTTCCCGATTTAAAAGGTTACCCTAAAAATCTAGAAGACATACCAAGTTTGGCACATATAAAAGCCATAACAGCCCAGAACAGCGCAAATGATGCACCGTTAACGGCAGGACAACTCAAACGCAAGCGCATGTATTCACATATGCATCAGGTGTCCTGCCGCCAGCGACAAGGAAAAAATCTCTAAAACGGTGAGAGTTCCATGCCTACCATCTAAAAATCGGGGAAATATTCACCGGTGTATGGTGTTATTCACATGTGTGCAGCTATTCGACTAAACAGCAAACCTAGTACGGTGACCTACAGTGAAGCATATAATCAAATAGGCTTGGTGCCAGCCAAATACATTCTCGTAAACTCACCAAGCCTGATAATTTTTAATAAATTCTTTTAGTATTCAAATGCTTTATACTAAAAGACACCAAAAATATTAATGAACACCCCAGCGGAACTGCGGAGGCGCCGATGGGGAGCAGCTCCCCTGCATGCACGGGCGATTTGCAAGAGAAAAACGGGGTTATGATTGCGAGCGGAGCCCCCACGATCTTCGTTCTCATGAAGTGCTCAAGTGATAACGCATTCTAAACACCCACCCTTCTCAACTACGATTCACGTGCATGCTCACAAGGATGCTCCTCGAAAGACTGTGGGTCTGGGGATTATTAGCATACCATATCCTCCTAACTTGCTTATTAGTCGAAGCATTGCAAAGTCCTTCCAACGGCAGGCATGTGTGCTTCCTATCTGAGGGCCAAAGGCCGGTTTCCATGTTCCGGGCCCCTGTTTTTCCCTCGCCGTGTCCTTCCAGCAATTTCAGCTCATTTCCGCTGCGAACCTTGAACCAGCTGCCACGTCCTGTTTCGTCAAACGGCAAGTTTGTTCGAGCTGCTCCTTTGCCACAGCACCCGGAGGCACCGCGATGGGGAATATCATGTCTATTTGCGAAGCTCTCATTCATGACAGCACCGGGCCCATTCAGCCTCTTTGACGAAGATTCATCAAAAGACTTACGAGGGTTTCCTCGGAAGAAATTTGCAGAGCGATCTCTACCATCCCGATATGTTGAGGCTAACTCACGCTATTTGCGACTATCCCCTATCAAAACTCGGCGTGTTGTTCAGGAGCTGCGTGGTAAAACTCTTGCAGGAGCATTAGCACACCTCGCCTCATCTCCGAGAAGGCCTGCACTAGCGATATTCAGGACAATTGAGTCAGCAGTCGCTAATGCTGTGCATCTGCACGGAGAGGTAAATCTTAAGCCACAGCTGGTCTCGGTGACTGCGAATAATGGACCAGTCATGAAGAGGCCATTTTTCAAGGCTCGTGGAAGACTAAATCTATGGCGCCGCCCAACAACGCACATTAAAGTAATACTCAGAGTATTATAGCATTGCCTCGGGAGGTTTGGAATAAGACTGGCTTGGAATAGTAAAGCCATTGTGAGCCCGTGCAGCACCATTGTGCAGCACTATCAAGTGTTCTTTTAAGCCACGACACCGTAAATCTAGAGGCATAAGCGCCTAGAAGAGTACATTTGGAATAGTCTGTAATAGCAGGCGAGAAGCGCGACTAGCGTGTCTGCTAGAAGAAACAAGACGCGCATCATTCTGCCGGAATCATGGACTTCAGGTGAGGTGCACGACACAGAAAGCGGATAGATGAAATGCGTTTGGGGGGAGAAAGATACAGCAGCACTAAAAGAAACCCCTTTATGCACACATTAGTCCATTTCAGTAGACCGAAATGAGCTTTCATACGAATAGCAAGTGTGCTGTGCATCCGTTTGTACCAGAGTGGACCTGCCTGCAGAAGGAATGCCAGCTGATGACTGAGACAGGTGCGTTGAAGGTAACGGTGTAATTTTGTGTTGGATGCAACCATGTGGCGTCAATTATACTTTCATCGAGTCGTTTCATTGGGTGGCGTGAGGTGTTATGCATATTCTTTTTCCCGTTCACAGGTAAGCATTCAGATTCTAGCAAAGCGCTCTTGGCAGAGGGCACCTGTTGCGGCAGACGCATACTTTGTTCCCATGATTGTGGCGCAGTGCGTGAAAAGATATCACATATGCTGTGTCCACCAGAAGTTCGGAGAACAGACAAGGTAACCGCTTTAAGCGTACGCTATAAAACGTACCACAAGCATTCTCGGCTCACATTGCAAAGTTTGACAATGCTTATTGACTTTGATGGCAGTAGCCGGAATTCAAATTCTGCTGTGAATAGCTGGGGGCTGACATCTGATGCAAACAATCAAGAACCCCATGCTTTTTTTGTTCTACTAGGGGTGTAATCTCCACAGGAGTAGATCACCTGGAGGCATCCTTAGGTACTTTAGAGACGAAGTTTTTCGTGTGATTGTGGCATGATTGTGGCACGCCAACAGATTGGACATAGCCGCGCTTTCGGGGCCATGGAAACGCGTAGCAGCAACCAGTTCCACTTCGTACGGGTAGAAGTTGATGGTGGTTGCCATCAACGAGCCTCGTTTTTCCGTACCCGTGTGGAAACCTGCGATTCAAGACGTTTTGTGGTCACCAGTGAGCCACAAATAATGCGTCGTGATTTCGTACGATTCTGCAGAGAGTCACACACAGGCAGCAAAACAGGCAATAAAGTATGCACAAGGTGCTCAGAGTGTGGCCAGTGGCTTAGATGAGATGAGTGCACAATCAGTTGGCAAAAACACGTTGGCATCCCATTTATTTTCTTTTATGCCAAAAGACGTACAAGCTAAACGTGTGAGCTACCTCGCTCTTTGTTTCGTGCATAAGAATGAAGGCAAGGTCTTTTCAGATCAGGGCCAAGCGTAACGGCGGCAGGGCTGCACTGCATGATGGTCTTCGGTTCAACTACATTCGATTAGATGGACCGAAGAGTGGGGAAAGCTTTGTTTGCGATGCATTCTCAGTGCAGAACTCAGGAAACACCTTTTCAGCCAGGTTCCCGCGTGGAAAGGAGCCTTACGTCTGGCCGGAGGGGCAGGGCGAGTAAGAACACACGAATTTTAGAACCACATCGTTTCTAGTACGTGTGCTCTGGCAGAAGGACTAGACCTTGGATACCTTCTATTTAAAAGAATACATTATATATTCGGCGTCCTGCTTAACGTGAAGGTTGAGGGCAACGTTTGCCCTTGCCTTATAATGTGGTTATCTTCAGTCGTCTTAGTGAGCCCCACAGGGGACTGCGCCGGATTTGAGGATACATCAAGGCACCGTGAAGTACGAGGGCCATTCAGCTTGCTTAAGGAGTGTTACGGGTGAATACGATGCCCTGGTTGTGTATTTGTAATGTCAGTAACACCGATGCTTTGTCTGTAAGAGCTTTTGCAAACGGGTTTGGTCACGCCAGCTCATGCGGAACCAGGTCTTTATCACGAGAATACTGGATGCGCTTTCTACATTTTCAGAAGTTTGCGGAGCCCGTCGAGGAGCCTTTTGGAGATGAGGCTGGCGGTAGAGATATGCGTGTGAGGAAACACTATGGGAAGCGAAGGTCTGAGCTGTTCCGCAGACAGCACATTCAAGATGTGGTGTTCATTGACATTTCTTTTTTGTGCTTCTACAGCAGAGCACATGAAGAATGGGCCAATTTCGCCGGTGCTCCTTCTACAAATTCCACCTTTGTGAAATGTCTTTGACCCCTTTACATACATTTTTCGGGACCATGGTTTGAGCTGGGCACCCTAGGTCTTTGGGCTGCCCAGTTTTGCGGGCCTTGACGCTGCAGCGCTGTGGGTGGTGCTCTATTACAGCAAGTCTGCAACTGGATTGTCTCCGAGAGCCATGACCTGGAAGGTGTACAACCTCTCTCTTCCCTTTCAAGCCTCTCCGTTGTGCAGATCTTCCCACGATGAGGACAATGGTAGGCCATATTGGCAATATTGAGTTCTTTCCTGTTTCTTATAATATCACTGTTCCTTACGGTGCATGCCGTGTTCAAGCCTACTTCTAATAATTGAATGGGCACTTAGATACCAACTGTGCCTACCACGTTCTTGCCCCGCCCTGCCTGTCTCTGTAGAAGCCTTCTACAGGGTGAAAGAGCAGACTACCCTATTTGACAGTGTAGTTCGACTGGA